CAGGAACAACGGCCCATTCAGTTAACCCTTCAGTTTGATTGTTTGATTCTTATTTTTGTCAAAAATTATCGAAAAAAAAAGATAAGTTTAAATGTAATCACCAAGATTGCTTAGAGTGGTGAAGTTATTGGGATACATCCGTACGTTTGACGTACTTAGCATGCCTCCCTATTTCATATTATTATTTTTTTTTTTTGACTTAAATTGGACAGCTTTCTTTTTTGCATATAAGTTTTTTTTTTTTTGTGAGGATTTTTCTTGTACTATTTTAGAAACCATATGTTAACACAAGGCTTTACACATTCTTGCTGTTTCAATTAAAAAAAAAAAAAAATAGTTCTTTAGAGTAGTGATACTTTCAAGATTTCAGTATTGGAAGAAAATGCCAATCTGCTTCAACTGTTCAATAAAACCATACTAAGCAATCTGGAACAGCTCCTCTCCCAAATGATTCAATTTCTGTGGCAAACCCAAAAGCGCCTCGGCCAATTCAAGCATTTGGATGTATCGCAAGTTTTCCAATGCGCTGTAACAGAAATCGTTATGAAAGTAAGATCAGTGCTTCAATCATACAGAAAAAGAATCAGCCAGAAAACTGAAACATTTCTTACCATTATAATAATCGGAACATTTCTTATCGTAATAATAATTTCACAAATTTTTTAACTTTATAATTCTCATTTTTTACCTTTCTTTTCGATTCTTTTGCTTACTTCATTCATTGAAAATTATGCGATTCTACGCTTTGATGAATGATAAACAACTCCGCAAATATTTCTTGACATAGGTAGATCCATGATGGACTCCTGGAGGAAGGAGGGGCAACGGAGGTGCGGAAGAGAGTTTTCTTTAGTTTTAGCTTTAGACCCGAACTTTTGTAGTACTGGTGCCTGTGTCGCTGGGAGAGGAAGGGGGCGAAAGACCCATCCCCTGAACGCGCCTATGCTTCTTGAGCACAAGACAAAAATCCAACAACAACAACAATGCATTTTCAAACTCTTCAAAAATGCTCGCCTTCACGTGTACGAGAGTGGTCTTTTGCACAGTAAGTGAAGCATGTTAAGAAAGTTTTTTTTTCAGGAGTTACGGGAAAATTCGCGATGTGCAGTAAACGAAATCCGTGCTCTGATGAATAGACTACATTCTAACTCCCAACGACGAACACTGATCCCGATCAAGGAACAAATAAATTGGCGAGCGAAAACTCAGAACGCGCTGCAGTTGCTAGAAAATGATCTACAGCACTGCTTCGATAAAAATTCACTACCAGCCAATACGTCTGCGATTCCTTTCCCTCCAAATGATACTACCAATACGCCTTTAATCGACACGCTTTCGAACGCTACCCCCTCGAATGGTATTGTTAATCGACTTTCCAGCTTTTCTGGTTACCGAGTTGGCAATTTTCCGCCAAATATTTCACGTACCCGTACGTAAGAACAAATACGCCTGCGACTCCTTTTCACCCAATTGTCATTTAAAACACACTTTTGTCGATATCAATGTGATCTATTTGGTCCCATACTTTTAAGGCAATTATCGGATACTTTCTGAATAATGAAAGAGTTGCAGTCATTACATGTGCTATCAATCAACCTTCTAGCTTTTCTAGTCACCGAGTTAGCAGTTTTCCCGCCAAATATTTTACGTA